TATAAAATACATTAACTAATAGAGAATAAAATTTTATATATTTAGTTACAGTTATATTTAGTATAGTTACATAATTTAAAACGGCAATGTATACGAACAAGACAGCAATATACAAACGGGACTATGTTTTAAATATTAGAACACTTTAGGGAAAAAACGACCATGCATTATTTTAGATTAAAGTTTAGACCTTGGAATCCTAGTGAAAGATACAGGCGTAAAATTGCGCGAGAAACTGTTTGTTGTTGTTAATAACCTCTTGTAATCTAATTAACAAAACTTAGTTTGATTGGCTACTATTTACCGGATATTCAATTATCTCAAAGGGGGCGTATTGAAAAAATATCAATAAAAGTCGCAGGCTCTATATATAGAGCCTGTGCTCTATATATAGAGCATAGATTAAGGAATGAATAGATGGCTCACTCCTTTGATGTTTTTGACGCTGCCGGCGCCCACGCATGTTCTTGCCAGAGTAATGGCGGCCTAGCAAGTAACTGTAGTAAAATGCATTGTAAAATTGACATCGGTGCTACTAAATTCTGTATTTTTATAATTCTGATTTATCTTTCCATTAAACACCCCAAAAGCGGAAAAATACAGGATTTAATAGCACGGATGTCAATTTTACAATGCATTTTACTACAGTTACTTGCTAGGCCGCCATTACTCTGGCAAGAACATGCGTGGGCGCCGGCAGCGTCAAAAACATCAAAGGAGTGAGCCATCTATTCATTCCTTAATCTATGATATAGAGCCTGTGAGCAGGCTAGGACGATTGGGGCTAAACCACCTATTAATGGCGGTTGGAAAGCTTATTTGGGGCGAGTTATTTTCGTAAATGGTGAGTAATTTATATGTTTATTCTTTATTGACGAGCATTAAATCCGAATTAAGCCGCATGTTTGTTGTAAGATATATTAAAATGCGTATAAAGATAAAGCGGTATATTAAAAACTAAGCACGTGTCAAAGGGCTTTTATATAAAGGCCATTAAAAACTACTTATTTTACCTATTTAGGACAATTTATGCCCTCAAACCGAGAGTTAATAGCTAGAAAAGCTGCGTTTTTGAAATAAAATGTAGAAATGAAGTGTCCCAGTTGAAAAATATTGCTCTAAAATCCAGATTCACTGTTAATAGTATTTGTATAAATTGTCTGTATCTCACTGATTTGTATTGGCGTCCATTTTGAATCTGATAATTAATCGGGGGCTTCATTCGGGGGTTGCCAACAAAGAGTTTTGTTGATACTTGACCTATGATGGGTCTCTTTATATGATCCCGGCCAGACGGGACAGAATACTTACGGTAATGAGATCCTGCTTGTAATACAAATTCTAAAGTGTGTTTATATGATCCCGCCTAGATGGGATCTTGGCAACAGATGCCGGGATCCCGCCTAAGCGAGATGAAAAATTCCCATATAAACACTTCATCCAGCCTAGCCGGGACGAAAAAATCCCATATATATCCCGGCTAGGCAGGATGAACTTTTCCCTTTTGAGCTTGCATAAATGCTTTTATTGCAACAAAAATATGACGTCAAGCACTTAAATGGCTTCATCCCATCATGTCTAGGCGGGATCGTATAAACAGACCCTAAATGAAGGCACACTGTTCCTAAGAGTATCCTACCTACTTTGTTACAATTATCTGGACAATTTTCATCGAAGTGACTATATGTCTGGCAGTTGTTTTGAAAAAACTAAATGTCTGGTAGTTTGAAAATTATTTGTTCGTAAACATTGACCACGATAGAATGGGAAGATTCGCTGAAAACTAACCACAAACATAACAATTTAATACAATCTAACTGCTGGATTTTATAGTCACTTTGAATATTAATTGTTTACATTACAGACTTGACATGATCTTTAAACATTAAAGCCAGACCATTTACTTGGCAAGGAAAATACTCACTAAGTGGTAGATTTTCTTCATAATGTCTTAGCTAAAATGTTTTTATTATGTATCTGTTAGAAAAAAAGAAACTGGTTGAACACGAAGAAAGCAAATTCCTTGGGGAATGTTCTAGTACAGATGATTTCAGCAGTGGTGAATTAGATAATAAAACGAGAAGAACAAAAAGAAGATTATCATCTGATTCTGAGAAATCCGAGGTTTTGCCTTCCAAAGAAAAAGTCCAAAAAGTATGTTTTATTCACTTTAATAATTGGTCTTGAATTGGTTAAGAACTTTTACCAAAGGGAATCTATACCAGTCTAAATTCTTTTGGCCATTTTGGCAATTCTTACATGTGCAGTACGTAGTACTACACAAAATATCTACAAATGAAATGGAGCAAACTGTACCTGTAGCCTGCGTGCAGACTATATAATGACGTATATAGTCTGCGAATCTGTGGCATGAAGCTTGTATGGTCACTAACTTTTGAACAGCCCAACATGCTTTGCGAATGCAATGTCCGATGATTAACATTAATTTTGCATAATCATAGTTCAACCAATCACAATTTGTCCCAACGCCTCTCAGGAAATTCACATGACCATACAAGCTTCGTGCCACAGATTCGCAGACTATATATGTCATTGTATAGTCTGTGTGCAGGCTACTGTACCTGTTGACCGGCATTAGCCCTATTCACATTAGAGACGGACAAGTCGTCTAGACGAACAAATCGTCTCTCAAAAATCGTCTTCACAAAACCTTTTAATTTACTGTCAAGGAATTCACAATAAATTTAATGATATTACTGTTGTTCCAATTGAAGTGTTCCTCAAATATTGATTCAATACATTACCTCAGGCTGACCAATTCATTTCATCAAGTTCCTCGAGATATTCATACACTTCCTGTGAAAGAGCCAATTCCAAGAATTTGATCATTTCACGTCACTTCCTTTCTATTTATGATTGGTTAGTTGCACAAACAACAAAGGTAATTGGTGCATTTAAACTATTCAACAGGAAGTTTACAATTATACTAGGAAGTGTATGAATATTTCGAGGAACTTGATCAAATGAGTTGGTCAGCCCGAGGTAATGTATTGAATCAATATTTGAGGAACACTTCAATTGGAGCGACATTAACCCATTGAGTTACATTGCAGCCTGATGCACCCTACTTTAGTATTTTATTCTGTCTAACCCCAGACGATTTTACTAGTCAAGGGGAGAGCGCTGGCACTTAATGGGTTAAAAACAGATTTGGCAAAATGGCAGATTCTCAAGATTGAGTTTTCACAGGTTATTGCAATCACAGCTCTATTGAATTCAATCAGCGCACATGTTATATAATTGTTATTTTATAAATACCGGTAATGTGTTTCAAATGCAGTAATACATGTCTCAGATGATACCATTGTTATGTATAACTGGTCTATTGATCTGTTATGTATAACTGGTCTATTGATGTGTCTACCTTAGAAAAAGGTTGGTGATGCAAGATGTGCTGCCCAAAACAGGGAATATGAGAACATAATTGGCAGGATGGGTTCGTCTTTAGAATCTGATGAATCAGAAGATGATGAGTTGGTCCCAAAAGAGGATTTGAAGAAAAGAATTAAAATTCTTGAAGAAGAGCTGAATCAGCAAAGAACCTTGGTGAGCCGGCTGCAAAAGGCAAACCTTGCTCTTCAGACCAGTAAGTAAAGTCACTACACAATGCTTTTCTACAGACAAAAACATGACCATCAACCAGTGGCAGACACCTTGCAAAATATTGGGGGTGCTGTTAACAAATCCTATATGGCAGCAAATTTTACAGTTTTACTTGTCAAGAAGATGTCTTGTAGTGCTTTTCAATTCGCATACAATGTGTTGCCCATACAGAAATTATTGGGCACATACACTTTCTGTTTGAAGTTGATGCATTGATGATTTAAACCTTACTGTTTGTGTAACTAATAGCCAACTCAATATTTTTAACAGGCTTACCAGAAGTGATAAAGGGAGCAATTAAAGATGGCTTGGCTGGTAAGAAAGAATTCCCACTTACTCCCTACCTAAAACACAGCACCCCTTCTCCGCTGCGTAAACCACCTAAAGAAACAAACAAACCCCGAGCAAGCTGCCTATTGCCATTTGGCAGACCAAGCAGTATATCGTCTGATGATAATAATACTGAGGATCCTGTTAGTGAAGTGAGCGTCAGTGATGTTGAAATTACACAAAGTCCATCCTGCCTTGGCGATGTACTTAAACCTTTGTCGGTAAGTAGTTTTGCGTTGTGATAAATAGTAAATACACGATGAAATATGTAGAAAAGCTACCAATGATACTCAATATTTTCCAGAGCGGTGTTGCATTTTTGGATTATGGTTATACTGAATACTGACTGTTAGATTACACCAGGCCTTAAAATATGTTTTTACAGGGCCATCTGACAAAATGTCCAATGACTTTGAGTTTGTGTCGGACATATGTATGATGATGTATATAACTCTGAATGACACAAATTAATATCAGCACAATGTATTCATTCTCAACTAAATATTTAATAATTTGTGTCATTCATCCTTATTTCCAAGCCAAAATTTACTTGCTCAGTCCGACCTATATTTTAAGGTCTGTGATTATACAACTATTCGATTCTTTTTATAGTTTTGCTGACCCAGTCCAGGCGGCAGAAATCATGAACAGCACTACTGAAAGAAAAATGACTGGCACGTTAATGGCGATTTTATTTGAAAGGAAAATCATAGCTGAGTCGTCAGTTACTGGCAAAGGAAAAGAAGGACGTCCACCATTGGATCCTGAGAAAGTCCAGTTAATTATATGTAAGTTCATCCTGGCACTTTGTTATTTTGCTCGGCCTGTATCTAGGATGCTAACTAACTCAAGTAACTTGGTCTACCACCAGAGCATATTATTTGTCAAGGGAGATTCTAGTCACATAATGGGTTAACAATTCTGGCTGCCCATTTTCCTCTTATCCCATTGACTGGCAAAATGCACTCAGACTTGTTCTTTTACAGTGTTTCTTCAGGACAATATTACAGTAGTGAAATACTTGTCAAAGGGGGAGTTTTGCTACCCAATGGCGGGTCAACAAATCCATCAACCAATTTCTCTTCTTAACCTAATTGCTTTTATTTTAATTTTGTAACATTTCATTCTTGGCACCATCTACAGTACGTACAGAACTTTTTCGACTGTAAGCTAAGGTGCAAAGTTTATAGATTGGACAGGAGGGGAAATGCTCATATTGCTGCATGCGTAGCACTATGTAATGTTAACTGACTGTGGAATTATAGCACATGAAATATGTAAAACTAATGATAGTCTTGTATTTCCTTTCTTATAGCTCATGTAACTAAACGTTTTTCGGGATCGAAAGCTTCATCCGTCAAGGCTGCTATGGCCCAAAAATGCAAAGATGAACGCAATGCTGGTGTGAAAAGAAGAAAAATTGCAGAAGAAATTGGAACTGTTAAGTTTTTACCCCTTATTATAAATTTGTATACTTGCTAAACATTTGTAGATATTAATTGTAGAAATAAATTATTTGAACTTCCTGTATATATGTATATTTTTCGGTTTGACAGGTTTTAAATGTGCATTGTGTGAAGCTTTGCATAATTTCACATGTGAAACTCCAGCATGTGATATTTTACATGTATATTTGGAACATGTGATATATCACATGTGAAGTTTCACATATGAAATTATGTGTTTCACATGTGAATTTGGAACATGTGATTTTTTACATGTGAAATTATGTGTTTCACATTGTTTCACCTGTGAAGTTTCACATGTGAAATTTCACATGTGAATTTGGAACATGTGAATTTGGAACATGTGATTTTTCACATGTGAAAACATGTGAAATTATGTGTTTCACATGTGAAATTTCACATGTGAATTTGGAACATGTGAATTTGGAACATGTGAAACATAATTTCACATGTGAAATTTCACATGTGAAATTTCACATGTGAAAAATCACATGTTCCAAATTCACATGTGAGATTTCACACATGTGAAATCATGTGGAATTTTTGTAAGGGACATCAAAGATAAATTATGTATACAACATTAATTTCCTGAAGATAAAAATATATTCCAAAATTAAAAATATTAAACAAAGTTGCAAATGACTATTTGTAGTGACTTGAAACAGTAAGTAATATTTATTTATAGCTTGAATTCAAATAAACTAAGCTGTGCTTCCGCTTAAAACAAAATTTCCGTTTCGGGAGAAATTTCCTCTTTCATGTAGTATTCCTTTTAAACATTATTGTCAAATGTTAAAAAAGACGGCAAGACCGGAATGGTTGTAAATGCTGTGGAGGTCAATCTCGTAGCCCTGAATTAGAGGTTGGGAGTAGGTGGAAAGCATGCAATTTAGAGGAAATACGGCGGCCAAGACCGCAGCTTGCCTGAATTGCTAGTTTTTAAGACATATATACCCGACGTACATACAATTATATAGCCAAAGTTATATTCTTTATGTTTGCAATCACGTGACTTTCGATCCAAATGACGGGCAATCAAAACAACTTGTGGACGATTTTTCACCCATTAAAATGGTTGTTGCACGAAAACTGAATGGTAATTCGTCTTTTGAGTCTTGAGCTGTCTCTAAACTCGATCAACACATTAAAATTGCCGTTTTTTGCTCCACCTGTCAGTCAACTGAAAACCCAAAATTACGTCATTGCAAACAAATAATTTTGTCCCGCCGTCCAGGTCTTTGGGCAGCCCAGAAACTTCGCACGGCTATCAGTGCGATATAGTTGTTAAATATCAAAACATGATATTGAATTTTTAACATATCATATTAAATATCATATTCATCATTTTTACGAAAATTATTATTTTTTAATAAGTTGAGATTGTTGATTTATAGCAGATGTTTTGAAAGTTATTACTATGTTTATTAAACTTGCGGATGAAGGATGTAGCAGAAAACCAATATCTTAGCCGTGTATGAGCGAGTAACAAAGAAGATGAATTATTATATTATTTTAAACGCTATAGGTTTGTTTATTGTAAACCTTTTCTTTCTTTTTGCTGGAACCTGCCTAAACATCGTGGTTGTTCTCAGCATTTGGAAGTCATCACAGCTTAGAAAGAAATTGTGTTATTTTTTTATTCTTATTTTATCCTCCATTGACTTCGTTGTTGTCATTTTCATCCATCCAGTGCTAATAATTGGGGGTATTATTTGGTATTTTAAAGATGCCAGTTTTCTTGGTGATGAATTTGATACATTTATCTTCGTTGGCGGCATTTTGCTCGGATCGTCTGAGCTTGTACTGTTTACAATGACCGTAGAGCGATATATGGGTTTAACGCGCCCGCTTTTTCATAAAACATCTGTCACAAAGAGAAGAGTCATTATTTTTATGAGCATAACTCACGCTTTTTACTTTATTATTGAAATATGCAATTTCATCTTGGAAATTCCTTCAATTACCGAAGCTTACATTGTGCTATTTATTACACTGTCTGTTGTGGTGGTTTTTATGATGAACTACAAAATGTTTGTCATCGCTAAATCAAGGACGAAAAACACACGGCCTTCTGATGAAAGGATTACTCAATATAAAAGATACTAGAAATACATGCATGCAATAACCCCTCGCCTGTTTTCAAAAGATATATACTCAGTGCCGTTGCAGTACAGTTGTTTTCCAAATTCACTTTCTCAGTCATGTCCTGAGAATTACCTGAATTCCCCTGAAAATCTTCTGCAAATCTACTTAAATGTACGTACTAAAAGTGCACTGGAAATCTACCTGAAATTCATCATGAGCAATAATCAGGGGTGTTGCACCCCCCCCCCCCCCCCAGTGAGTTCCAAGCAAACACTCTCTGATTTATTGTTCGTGTATTTCGATCACCTCCCAAAATATTGTGCATCATACTATAGAGCATTTTGCTGTTGTCATGCTCTAGCATGGTTCAAATTTATGAATTTTTATTATATAAAGTATAGTGTTTTACAGAGTTTTCGAGCACTGACAAAAATGATAATCTCAGATGTGAAATTATTCATAATAATCTCACATGTAAAAATTTATCGCCTTTTCAATTATCGCTTTTGTGTAAACATTATCGCTTTTCATTTAAGACTGTCCTTTATACAATAAACAGAAAAATACATGGGTGGTTGGAAATACCAGATTTATTTTTTGTGTTGAACATGACATCTCACTCGTTCGCTGCGCTCACTTGTTCGCTGCACACTCATGTTCAAGACTCGAAATAAATCTGGTATTTCGTGCACCCATGTATTATTCTCTATTTAAACTACAGCTAGACTGGTTTAAATTATTATCAATTTATCAGTGATTGTAAAAGTTGGAGATAGAAGTGTTTTGTTTTATAAAATTATCAAGTTGTCGGTGATCGCAAAACCTCCAAATCCTTAATTTCAAATGTTAGAATGTTAGGGTTAGAATGTTAGGGTTTGTAATATATACATTTTAAGTGAGAATATATACATTTTAAGACCTAACCAGGAACGACTGCGAAAAATGCAGCACAAGGTCCTCTGGTAGGAATTGAACCTACGGCCCTGCGATTCTGGTGCAGCGCTCTAACCAACTGAGCTACAGAGGCCAGCTGTTGAGCTTTAACCGTAAGTTCATGTATATTTAGGTAATCGGGGGTGCGGGTTGTGATAAGGTGGACTTCAATAATTTGGATTCTTGCACTTCACTTGGTGGAATTAATATTAGAATGTTAGGGTTTGTAATCCAAGTGAGAATATATACATTTTAAGACCTAACCAGGAACGACTGCGAAAAATGCAGCACAACGTCCTCTGGTAGGAATTGAACCTATGGCCCTGCGATTCCGGTGCAGCGCTCTAACCAACTGAGCTACAGATGCCACCTGTTGAGCTTTAACCGTAAGTTCATGTATATTTAGGTAATCGGGTGTGCGGGTTGTGATAAGGTGGACTTCAATAATTTGGATTCTTGCACTTCACTTGGTGGAATTAATATTAGAATGTTAGGGTTTGTAATCCAAGTGAGAATATATACATTTTTAGACCTAACAAGGAACGACTGCGAAAAATGCAGCACAAGGTCCTCTGGTAGGAATTGAACCTACGGCCCTGCAATTCTGGTGCAGCGCTCTAACCAACTGAGCTACAGAGGCCAGCTGTTGAGCTTTAACCGTAAGTTCATGTATATTTAGGTAATCGGGTGTGCGGGTTATGATAAGGTGGACTTCAATAATTTGGATTCTGGCACTTCACTTGGTGGACTTAATATTAGAATGTTAGGGTTTGTAATCCAAGTGAGAATATATACATTTTAAGACCTAACCAGGAACGGCTGCGAAAAATGCAGCACAAGGTCCTCTGGTAGGAATTGAACCTACGGCCCTGCGATTCCGGTGCAGCGCTCTAACCAACTCAGCTACAGAGGCCAGCTGTTAATGAGCTTTAACCATAAGTTCATGTATATTTAGGTAATCGGGTGTGCGGGTTGTGCTAAGGTGGACTTCAATAATTTGGATTCTTGCACTTCACTTGTTGGAATTAATATTAGAATGTTAGGGTTTGTAATCCAAGTGAGAATATATACATTTTAAGACCTAACCAGGAACGACTGCGAAAAATGCAGCACAAGGTCCTCTGGTAGGAATTGAACCTACGGCCCTGCGATTCCGGTGCAGCGTTCTAACCAACTGAGCTAATAAGGCCAGCTGTTGAGCTTTAACCGTAAGTTCATGTATATTTAGGTAATCGGGTGTGCGGGTTGTGATAAGGTGGACTTCAATAATTTGGATTCTTGCACTTCATTTGGTGGAATTAATATTAGAATGTTAGGGTTTGTAATCCAAGTGAGAATATATACATTTTAAGACCTAACCAGGAACGACTGCGAAAAATGCAGCACATGGTCCTGTGGTAGGAATTGAACCTACGGCCCTGTGATTCCGGTGCAGCACTCTAACCAACTGAGCTACAGCTTGGCCAGCTGTTGAGCTTTAACCGTAAGTTCAGGTATATTTAGGTAATCGGGTGTGCGGGTTATGATAAGGTGGACTTCAATCATTTGGATTCTTGCACTTCACTTGGTGGAATTAAAATTAGAATGTTAGGGTTTGTAATCCAAGTGAGAATATAAACATTTGCATATTCTCACTTGGATTACAAACTATTCTCATTTGGATTACAAAATATATACACCAAATATATACATGTACTATACCGGTACATTTGTATATTCTCACTTGGATTACAAAATATATACATGTATATATTCTCACTTGGATTACAAACCCTAACATTCTAATATTAATTCCACAAGTGAAGTGCAAGAATCCAAATTATTAATTTCAAATGCCCCGCCGGGGCTAAGGTTCGAGTGGAAATGCCCAACACCCGGGATGTGCTTTACAGGAAAATGGCTGGGCGAGGGGGATGGGCACACTTGGATTTGGCTGATGCATTAAAAGTCCTGTGCTTATTCCAGACTGCTTGTCAAATATTTACTTGCTAGAAGTAGAAATTTACTCTGACCGCTGGATGAAGAAGACATTAAATAAGTACTGGTCAATAAACAGAAATGTATTTTATTTCATAGTATTACAATTTTATTTTTATACTATAAAAATAAAACATAAACATGCAGCATAGAATATGCAAATTCGAGGCAAAATTATTGTTGAATCGGTTTATTTATAGGATTTATAACAAATAGCAACTATAAAAGTTTGTACCTTGTCTTCACATCGTAATAGCCAATGCTTTTAATTCTACATATTTTATAATCAGCTCCTTTCCTGGTAACTGCATTTCTAAATGAAATCATCGTGAGTAGTGAGTGCTGAGCAGGCTGTTTTACTATAAACAAATTTTAGGAATTGTTTTAAAACAACTTTGAAAAATATATCGTTGCACATTCGGTCACAGTCGGAAAAATGTTCATAGTATGTTGTACCGTCGTTTGCAACTAACGATGAACAGTCGCTCATAAAAACATTCGCGTGATTAGAATCTTCAATGTTTGTCAAGAACAACAACACTCAATTGTTGTTTCCCATGTGTGCAATAAAAATAAGTAACAAAACTTTGTCTGAACTTGTTGGGCTAGAGACCTACTGGAAACTTTTACAGGCTTTTTAATGAGAATAGAGAATGTTTTATCTGCAACTGTTCACCCTTAGTTGCAACCGACGGTATTTGACAGCATAAAATTGCCTGTGGCTGTGATAACTGATATAAATAAAATACAGTCTGGTTATACTGACTTGAGCGTGTCATGACAAACTCTTTATTGGAAAATTGTGAAGAAATAGTCGAATATAGAGGGTCGAATATCATACTTAAACTTGTATAGCTACAGTATCATTGGTACATGGCGTTGTGAATACAAGCCTTTGCTTTAATACCTTTCGCTTCAGCAGTCTTTTTTTTCCATGCTTCTCTACGCTTTCCCAGGCGAGCTTCTCTTTCCTCAGCAGTCTCCTCGAGCAAACGTTGTCGTCTTCGCTGGCTCCCTCCTTTTCGCGAGGCGTTCGGCTTTCTTGTCGTTTCCTTGCCGCTCTTCATTTGGCTCCATACAGTAGTCCATATCTTTTCAATTGGTATTTGATACCATAATTGTTTTATTAAACTTTTTATAGAGCAAATTGCTTTGAAAGCTGTCAAAGTTTTTTGCAAACGTACAAAATACTGTAGTGTAAAAAGCAAATTATTTTCATGGAGTATCTGTCAGTTGAAGTCGTCATTTGTCATACAACAACAAATTTTAAATTTGACCAATCGGTGTTCGCTATCCATGACAGTCCGCCATATTTTTGAGATCAGTGAGGATGACCACCCAC